TTCTTCGAAAAAAAGTGGTGGGCCAACGAAAGTATGTGAGGTTCTTCTTGTAAGTTTTACAGTTGTATAGTCTAGCTTCTCTATTTCTACCACTTAGAAGTGCACTTTTGGCTACTTCTACAGACTTGTTCCCAGAATAAACCTTTTGGTTTAGATACCAAATATTTTGGGAAGTCTGCTAGAAAGTAAACTTGACCCCAAAGAAAACCATCTGTTCTTTTTGGCATCCACTCCTTGATATTTCATGCCTAGACAGCTTAGACTTTACTAACAACAAGCTGCTTCTACTTATAGGACCAAGTTTTAGTATCCACTTCGTCGCTTTTCTATACGTTTTGCTGTAGTTTAGTTTTTGTTGTTGTTGACCAGAGGATTGTCAGAAAGAGTTCTTTTTTTGAGTTACTATCTCTAGTTTTTAATTAGTATATTACATCATATAAACAATTATTATTCTTTGAGCAAAAAATAAAAATCACTTAAAATCGATATAAATCATTTAAAATCAAAATAAATCAATGTTATATAACTATCTTTAAACCATTGCTTCTTCTATATTCTTTGCTATTACTTAAAATTGATATAAATCATTTAGAATCAATTTAAAAATTAAAATTGCATAACTGTCTTTTAAAACATTCTTTATTACCTTTATCATTTTCGTTTCTTATTTCTTTAAATCCAAAGCTATACTTAATTCTTTTTTCATTATTTTTTTGTTATTTTTTGTTATTTTTTGTTATTTATCAATAGTATCTTTGCTATTTATTGTTTTTTTATTTATTCATTCTCTTATTATTCTTTTTCATTATTTTTTCATTAGTTCTCATTATTTTTCATTATTTATCTATAGTATCTTTGCTATTTATTATGCTTTTATTTATTCATTCTCTTATTATTCTTTTTTTTAAAAATGCATTGACAGTGTGAATATTGTAATCAAGACTTTTCAAAATCCTATGTCTTAACACAACATATTTTGCAAAGACATCTTTATCTTTAAGATACAACAAATCAAGCTGTTGAGCAAGTAGATGATAACATTTAAAATCTTCTAGATTATAGTTCCTCATCTTCAGAATATGATTCAAATAATTCTATAATATATAGGATAAATTAGTCACAATTTTTAATAGTGATTGAATATGTAAATAAACAATTATATTAATATAGAACGAAGTTACCTCAACATCGCCTACACCTGAAATAGATTCTTCTATAGAAATAGAAGATACCTTTAATAAAGTAAATTCATTATTAATATTAACTAAATTAAAAATTAAACATGTTGAATGGCAATTGATTTTAGTCGATTGCCATTCAACATGTTTAATTTTTAATTTTGGTAAGTATAACTTATAAAATGTTATCTATTAATCTATAATGTTTAGAATGAAGATATATATGAATCACCTTATTCAGATATAAAAACAGAGAATCTTTTGTCAGATTCTAAGTCTTTCCATAAGGAAAATAAAACATTTCAAATAGAATTTAAAGACATTGATCCAGAAGATTATAATGGTGTATCATTAGAAGATGCTTATAATGATCTACAATATTTAGAAACTGTCAAATAGCCAAACGATGCTTATCGAGATTTTATGAAAATAATTAATAAGCACCATATGTCTAATTCAGCCAGTGATGCTTTCATAAAATTTTTTAATAAATATTCCAATTTGGAAATTTCACTGCTTCCTTTATCAACAAAAATTAGAAAGGAATTTTTAGATAACTCAACTATCATTTACATAGAGTTTAAAGAAATTCCTATTACAACAATTCAAGATGTTAAATATATATTTTACTATCGATCATTAATTAAGACTATTAAGTCTTTATTAATGATCGATAGTATTAATAAGGCATTAATACTTAACTTTGAAAATAAAAGAGAAACAAATAATAGAAAGTTCTATATTTTCGAAGAGCAATATAATTCTAACTGGTAGTATTAAGAAGAATCGTTATTACTTATTAGACGATTGTTATTGATAATCCTTTACTCTGATGCAATAAATCTAGACCAGTTATAAAAATCATTTGAACATCCCATTTTTTTATCTTTAGGTAATATTTCTAACTCTCTGCGAAATAAACCGGAGTCTAAAGCTTTAATTAGATATCTACCTATCTTGAAAGTTAAAGATTTCAAAACAAAAACTCTGAAAAATTTCAAAAATTTCAAAGTTAAGTTTTTCATACATGTCTAAAAATCCTATTAAAGCCTATCATTAATAGTCTGGAGCTTAATTTTGTTATTCGTAGTAATATAATTATATTTATACTATAAATTTTAATAATAATAGCTGATTTACTTGAAGCAAATAAGATGGCTAATACTTACCAGCTATCTACAACAAATAAACCTTGTCATTCTTGTTTAATATTGAAGGATGACTTAAATAATATAGAATTAACTACAATATCACCTAGAACACATTATAATATG